AATGAACAACTTGATCGCGTTGTGCGATAATAATTAATAAATTTTTGTGTTGGATTCTGCACTTGACTTTGTCTTTGTGGTGGGCGTCGCTTATCGTTTTTGGTGCTGCTGCCTGTGCGGCGACTTAATTGTTTGTAATTAAATAAAATTGTACAAGGTCGATTACAGAAACTCACTCTCGGGTCTGGTAAATCCATGGTTACCAATTTGTTTTAATATAAAATGCCGGCCGGCAATTTAATTTGTATCGCATATAGTATATAGTATGTGCGAGGCGTCGGAAAATTGATTCCTGCTCATTATTTCATTAAAAGCGTTCTGCCAATTGGCGGCACCCAAAGAATCGACTGGCCTATCAAATTGTCTCCCGCGCTCCGTGATTTTCGCTTGCAGTTCGATTTGATTTTATGAATGGAATTGTATCAATTGATTGTTTTGGTCTTGTTATCGTTGCCTTTCGATCGTCGATAATTAAGTCGGGGGTGTGTATGCCCGCCCATCCCCCCTCTGCGGCTAAATAGGTTAGAATTATTGAAGCTCTGGTGCTCTGCATCGTCTCTGGTTTAATGGACAAATCAAATTGTCTAATAGTAATCCAATTTACTTGATTCGAGCTGGTGCCAAGCATTTTAATTGGTGAAACAAGTGCAAATCAATGATGAAGGAGTGTGGAAAGTTATGGGCAAACGTTATTGGTTCAAGTCAATCCTTAATAGCGTAACGATACTGTTATTATTTTATAACTTTATCAAAGTTCCATCTAAAATCCGCATTTCAAGTTTTTGCAAATCAAACATTAAAGAAATTTCGAAGGTTTTTGAATATCTTTATTAAATAAATTAAAACAAAAATAATTGTTGTGACGATAATGAGAAACTCAAGTTAAACTCGATTTTCAAAAACTAACAATCAAAAATATCTGACATAGTTTTTTCACACTATTCCGAAAGTGTGAGAAAAGTTATACTTCAGATTCATATGCTATCTTAATCTAATCAATTTATATTTGTTGGCAATAAGGTGTTAATTGTTTGTGAATTGCTAAACTATAAGAGTGTGCGATCTATTATCAAATCAGACAGGAATTTGAATAAACTGCAGCTGAAGTCCAAAAAGTCCATAAGAATTGTATATGTAGACAAGTTGAATAAGAATGCCATAATACTAAAAGAAATGTATATTTGTGTATATATAAATTTTTAAGAGAAATTCCGAAATGCGTACGCACTGGATTCGTATCCGAAGTCATGGGAAGGATTCCGGAGGGGTTGGACAGGGGCGTCGGAAGGGGGCCGCCATGACATGCGGGCAAGTTTAAATTGATCTTAACGAAGCTTAATTGATTGCGACTGTGTGGGCATGTGCGTGTGAGCAGTGTGTATGTTTGCAAGAGTGTGGGATACACTTGACGAAATTTCCAAATTGCCAATACCATCTATCGAATGCAATACAATCAAAAAACTTCACAGCTTTGAGCAGTGTAAGGGAGACAAACATTTTTGCTTTGCGGGTACCAAAGAATCTGTGAAACGGATCCAATCCCATTTAGAACGTTGGAAATACTCTTTTGAGTCAGAAAAGACAGCAAAATAAGAGTAAATTATTGCCAAACACGCTAAGCACTCCAAGTTTATAGTTTTTTATTTCAGATATCAACTGGTTTCATTGTTCACCACACACTAAGCGTAGATCTGTTTAATCTTTGGACTTAAGAAGAACGATTTGCTAAGGGAAGTATGCCAATTCACAATGGGCGCTAATGAAGTACACGGTTTTGTGGGGATGGGTTTGGATAATCCAGAGTCGCTTAGGCGTTGGCGAAGTCAATGCCCTTCTGGATGTTCTTCTTCAGCTCGGGAATGGCGGCCTCCAGCAGCTTCTTCTCGTAGTCGTTGAGCTTGGGCAGGCCGAGGTTCTCCTGGACGCCGTTCTTGCCCAGCACCAGGGGTGTGGAAAAGAAGGTGGCCTCCGTGACGGTGGACTGAACGTACGAGCACTCGATCACGTTCTTATCACCGTTCAGACCCTTCAGCAGGGAGCCGGCGAAGCGGGCACCAGCGTAGGCCATCGATAGGGTAGCGGAACCAGCTCCGGCCTTGGCCTTAACGACCTCGGTACCGGCCTCCTGGATGCGCACGGTCAGCTTCTCGATGGTGTCCTGGTTGCCCTTGAACAGGGGCTGGCTCTGGGACAGCACGGGCAGGATGGTGACACCGGAGTGGCCACCGATCACGGGAATCTGCACAGACTGGGGATCCACACCCAGGGCATGACCGATGAAGGCGCGGGCACGCACCACATCCAAGGTGGAGACACCGAACAGACGCTTGGGATCGTAGACACCAGCCTAGAAATTCAGATTGTATAGAACGTTAGGAATCTTTAATGAAATTTCTCTTATCTTATCTCACCTTCTTCAGGATCTCGGCAGCGATGGGCACGCAGGTGTTCACCGGGTTGGTGATGATAGCCACCAGGGCCTTGGGGCAGTTCTTGGCAATGGAGTTGGAGATGTCCTTGATGATGCCGGCGTTCACGTTGAACAGGTCATCACGGGTCATTCCAGGCTTGCGGGGGACACCAGCGGGGATGACCACCACATCGGATCCTGCAAAAGGTAGGCGAAATCGTATTTGTCACTAATAAATCGACTTCAGATTTGAGCTTTGCTCTTTTATGGGTTCAATCTCAATAGCTACTGCACTGATAAGTAGCTGCTTTTGATTACGTCGTTATAAATACCAATAACCTTTCTACGGCTTCAAAGTTGGTGCTATGATAGTGTATAGACTTTGTGGCTTATCTTATCAGAGCATAAAAGGTGGTTCATGCAAATCACAAGAAAAAGCTTTGCATTTATATGAACGATATTTTTCCAGATGGTATTTATCCAAATTTACAATGCAGTTTAAATTGTTGGTAAATTTATTAAAATGAAATTTCTCTATTTGTTAAGAGGGGAAATACAATTAGAAATTTTTTTTTTTCGAAAAATTTTTTTTGGCTTAATGTACTCCAAATATATCTGGGAATAAGCCTTTAAAAGGATAAAGCCGTCCGGTACTTATTTTCAGAGTTATACGCAATTTAGTGAGGGTGTGTCATATGGCGGACATGCACAAAAGTAAACTTTAAACGCTTCTCCTGAAAAGTCGTGTTTTCAAAGTCGCCGTGCAATGTACAGCTCAGAGATTTTATTTTAATCGAATGCGGTTTTTTGCATTATGTTTGATATTAAATTCTCCACACCATGAATATAACGGTTTTTCATATTTGTTTGTTATAACATGTTTTTTTTACAATCAAAGTCAAAAAAATCGTTTTTTTTGAAATTTTTTTTAACCTAAAATTTTTTAATGAAAAAATAATTTTTTTAAAATATGGTTTAATTCATGGTGTGCGCGGTAGCTTTAAGTTTAAAGCCCAGTTGCTGTTTTTTGTTTAAGTCGTGATCCTGGACCTGGAGACTGCACGGCGCAAAGTCCTTCCCTAAAAACACGACTCTACATTATTGATCATAAATGGGCTTAATTACAATATTTTTCAAAAAACTTGACTGACTTTTATTGCTCAATAATTACCTAATAACATGCAAAAAGAATCACTAAGATTCATTTAATACCCTTCTTGCAATCCACTCCCAAAGATAGCCCTCATTTCAGGCCTTCTAATTGTATTTCCCCCCTTAATTAGTAATCTTTTTTAATTCTCTATTTTTCATATTTTTCCTAATATTACATTATTGTTTTGACTTTGATATTATCTAATATCTTAGCTATTCTTAATTTTGGTTGATGATCAATGCTAATTATTAATAATTGTTTACGCAGAGCTAAAAGGCCTTTTCTTGAATTTTTTGAATATGTTTATTCTATTTTATCTACTTAGTTTACGTAAAACATCTCAATCTGAATACCTTTACGCAGTAAATATTTGTCAAAACAAAATCAAGAATTTAAAATATTAACTAAAAATGTAGCAAACTCAAAGTTTGATTGTCTCTTAACCGTGACTGATAGCCGTGGGCTGATCCGCACCCCCCGCAACCCCCTGCAACGACTGCTAGCAAATTTTCCGCTCGTAGCCGCGCATCGCACATAACCTCACTCGCGACCCCTGCCCTCTACTCACCCTTCAGGGAATCGCCCAGCTGGTCGGCACCGATGAACCCGGCGGTCTTGCTCTTGGTGTCGATGTGCGACAGATCGGCGGCCACACCGGGCGTATGAACGATATCGTAGAGGGCCAGATCGGTGACCAGGGGATTCTGCTTCAGGAGCAGCGACAGCGGCTGGCCAATTCCTCCAGCGGCGCCGCAAACGGTCACCTTGTAGTTGTTCTATATCGGAAAATATATCGTGCATTAGATATACATATGTACATATACCACGGATGACGGTGTTATGTCCGGTTTCATAATTATTGGCTCGAGATGCACTATCTCATCCGCCTATGTTACGTAAACAGTTGCAGTGAAGGGGGCTAATTCTAGCCGGGTTTTTGGGAACCAATGCTTACCTGCTGGCCAACCGAGAAGGTGCGCACTCCCTGCAGGGCCAATTGCTTCGTCACTTGCTTCAGCATATTTGCAAGGTTATTTGTTACAAAATATTGGTTAAACAATTAAACGAGAGCAGTTCTGCCAGCAAAATCCCACAGGCCAATGAAACAGATTTGCGAATCTTTATTGTTGTTGTTGTTGCAGTGGCGGGGGAGAGCAGAGTTGCTTTTGCTTTAGAGCTTTCACTTGAACGGAAAGCTTTTGATTGAATAGATTTTAACTCAAATTGTCCGTTTAAATAGTTTAATAAGTCTAACATGTTTAAATAAGAATGTTTGATGTCTTTTTCTTTTTAAAGTTTCTTCTCTCTTTTGAAAAATGGCTTACACTTATTTCATTGCACGTATTGATATTTATAAATTTAAATTTAAACTTGCATATATCGATATATTGCATTAGAGCTACAGCAAGAACTGCTAACTCAGTTGCAGCAAATTGTAATAGTTCTCAACACTTCTCTTTGATTGTTTTTAGTTTTTAACATAATTGTTTATTGTTTTCCGCTATATTAGGCATTTTAAGAGAATATAATCAAAAAACCGCCATTAAATTTAAATATTAAAATAATTAAGAAGCTGTACATGATGATATCATCTAAAGCTTTAACTAGGTGAAAAGAGGGGTGATGTGAGATGAATAGAGGCCACAGACTGATTGTTTTTCTTTATTCATTAACAATTAAAATCCATTTGCAGTTGAACATTAGATGTTAAACCGAAGTCTCGAATAGCCAATAATTTAAACTGTTGAAGGTATGTATCCACCAACATACATGTATACACAGACTTACAAATTTCCACCATTTAGACAACTCAATACAAACGACAAAGATGTCATCTTTGCGCCTTAGCCAACAGCAACGCGACCATCTTAGCCTGCTCCGAAGACCCGCTGGCGATGTAGTCGAGCTTTGCAAGTCCGCCTTCGATTACCTGATAAATGGGCCAAACCCCGATCGCTACGAGACTCTGGCCAAAAAGTACTCAGATGCGGAAAGCCCGGCGGCAGTACAACAGGCTGTCGAAGGGCTAATATCCCTGCTAATCAGTGCCACCACCCGGGTGAGCGGGAGCTCAGTCAACATGCTGGCAATCCTGCGGCAGACATTCCCCGATCTTGGCGAAGATGTACTGGAGGTCCTCGAACAGTTTGTCACCAGCAAGCGAAACTTTGTGGAGGGCTCAATCAAGTCAGCTAACATTCGTGCCTACCGGCTGGTAAACCTGGACTGGCGACTAGAGGTGCGGACCGCATCACGGAGCCTTCTCGACCAGTGCCAGGTGGTGGTGACTATGAAACTATACTTGCATACTGAACCGAAGAACGAAAACCGTGAACTCCTAGCAGTTGACATCTTGGGACGCAGCGAACAGGAACTGCAAGCCATGCAGGAGGATGAGCGATTGCATCGAAAGGATATGCTGGTACAGACTGATGTCAGCAGTCTGGTGCACATGATCAAAACACTAGAGGACGCCCTAGCCGAGTCCAAGACGCGGCGCATTCGCAACATAGTCGATGCCATTCACTGAAATGGCTCCAGAACTCATGCACTTGTTAACGCTAATTTTATCAGGACCAATTTATTACAACTAAAGCTAACTAGAAAAAAGACTGTTTATTGCGTGGCCGCCAGAGCTTCGGCGGCGGCTGTTTTCAGGGCAATCTTCTTGCGCTGGCGGTTCTCCTTCTTTTCCTCGGGTGTTTTGCGCAGCGCCTTGACGCGACGCGTTTGAATGGAGCCCGTCTGTTGCTTGCCCAGATGGACGCGTCCCTTCGTGTTGCCCAGGGCATCCGTGCTGATGTTCTTCTTCTTTCCAACCTTAAGTTGTTTGGGCTGCTTGCGTGACTGCTTGTACAGATCCTCGCTAGCAATCTTGGTGCGACGAATGGCAAAATCGGCCGAAGGTCCAATCTCCTCCAGTTCGATGCGCGGCGTCTTCTGACCGGACTTCTTAAGCAGAATTCGATAGGATCTCATCAAGATGTTCATATTGTCCGTTACGGTGAAGCTGAGAACATGTTCGATGCCCTGCAGACGAATCGAATCTACCTTCTCACGCTGAAAAGTGTCAATGAACAGGTTTCGAAGACGTCTCAGTTCCTCGGTCTGCGCCCATTTGGGTCCATTGAACACAAGGCAGGGCTTTACACAAGCACCAATTTTTTCATTCTTAAACTCGGAAATCGCCTGATACCGCTTGATGCCCAACTCAAACATGTCCAGCACCTCGTTCTCAAAAATCCTGCCCAGAACGATGTTGTCAGGTCGCTTCTTTGAGGTGGAACCAAACGAAAACAAAGCGGCATCGTTTTTCATAGTCAAGCTGCAGGGAAGAGTAAAATGTTTTATTGAAAAAAAGATTGCCACAATGAAGAATTCCTCTAAACTTACAACTCCAGTGAAGAGGGGTCGTCAAAGGGTGTTATGTCGTTTTTGCGGTTTAGGACTTTCACGAGCGGCTTTTTCAGAGCCTGCAGATCCTTCATGCACAGCTTTACGTTGCCACCGCATTTCCGTCCGTCCAAAAACAGCATTGTGCGGGCGGATTCAATCAGTTGCGGCTCCCTAGCCAGCAGGACCTTCTTTCCCTTACGGGTTTTGGGTTTCCTGAATAAATAATCGTATTTATTTGGTTGTATTTTACTATTTGTGGTTTATAGCTTACCTGATGCGTAAAAGCGACATATTCAAATCCTTCTTTAATAAAAATCAAGCAAACTAAAATTCAACAACGCACGTGTAAATACGCCGCTGGTTAGAGATGGGCAACATTGATGTCACTATCGATTAAATCGGCGGTTAATCTATTTCTTTTTGATTGATTGTTTTTGATGTTAGATATTTACATTAATATAGGGTGAATCGACACAAATTTGTTATATAATAAACATACTTGTAATTAGCGTAAATTATACAAACTTTAAACATGAACAAATTTGTTTCCGTAAAAGGATACTGTTCTCAATATGTCTTCGCAACCTGCAGGCAACAGTTGTCATTACCCACGAGCAGTGTTGTCATTCACCACGAAAGACAGTTACATGTTCACTAGTCCGCTTCTTCTGCGGTTGTAAATAAAACCTTGGGCAATGTATAATAATGCTTCGCAACGGCCAAAATCAAGCGCAATTTCTGGTCCGGAGTCTTGGGCAGCTGGCGCGGGGAATGGCCAGTGTGAGAAAGACCACCAGTAAGCAGGAGAAGACGAAAACAAAACTGCCAAAGCGTCCGACCATTGAGATGCCGTTAGAAGAGCCCTTAAATGCCAATTATTTGGCTAAAAATTTAGGTAAGCAACCATTCTGGAAGGGATTTAGTCAATTTATATAATGGCCTTATAGGTAGCAGTTATCGGGCCTGGGCGACTGCTCTGGAAAAGCACCCCGAATTGAAGACTGTAAAGCGGAAGGACCTCCATAACTCCTACGAAACGCTAAAATCTCTGGAGTACAGCGTTGATGACATCCTAGGAAAGCCCATGATCATCTACTATGGGGCCACCACGCTAGCCAATCGCCACAGTGTCCTGCAGGAGTGCGGTTTTGATAACATTACGATCCAGACGTTGGCAAAATATGTCACGGTGGTCAACAAACCCATAAAAGTTCTCAAGGCCCATAGATACATACCCTTTGATTTAAAAGTGGCGGAGCGCCTGGCGGAATTGTTTACAGATATTAAACTGCCAGTGGATTTGCGAGAGCTGGATAGCGAAAGCATTACATTAAAGAGCCTGAGGCAATCCCTGCTAAACGCTTACCTGCGCGAACGCCTTCAGATGGACGACAGTGATCTCCAAAAGCTGTGGCGCGTATACTCCCGCATCCGCCACAAGAGTTTTCGCGCCGTGCAGGACACCGTAGAACTACTGACCAATGAGCTGCATTTTCCTGCCGAGCGGCTGAGGAAAAACAGCTTTTTGCTTTATTCTGAGGCGGATAACGTGAGACGTATCCTGAAGGAGATACCTACCATTGACTCGCAGGACATTCGGGAAATCGGTTTCCGACGACCCAAGATTTTGATGTCCACCTGCGATAGCTTGAAACAAACTCTGCAGTATGTGAACTCCTTTGGAATCAGTGAGGATGCCGTCCTGCGCTGCCTGGAGGTGCTTACCCTTGGCCCGGATACGGTGCTGGAGCGACTGAGGGATCTGCAGGAGATTGAGGAGTTTCAGGTGCTAGGCACCAACCCGCGAGTGCTACGACTGGTGCACTACCAAAATAAGGCGCGACTGCGTCTGGATTACCTTAATCAATTGAAAGTTCGCTGCGCCTCCCTACACATCCTTTCATGCGGCTCCGAGGCGTTTGCAAAGTAAGTATTTATATGATTGGCAATCCATTTTCCTTTTTTTAACACATCAGCCAAAACAGATTTGCCAGAGATGGTTCGGATCGCACCAAAGGTCGCGATATCGTAGTCTACTTGGGAAATGTTTTATCCAAGGATGTGCAAGTGCTTCGCAATCTGCTCTCCCGCCATCCCAACTGGTGCCACATACCTCTGCTGCATGTTAAACAGTGCCTGGAGTACCTCCGTAGCAAGAAGTTTAAGCTGAATGAGATCTTTGCCAACATCCACTTGCTTCTTTATCCCATGTGAGTGCTGAAGTGATTTCATCAACGAATTACTTGTAATACATAACTACAATTTTCCAGAAAACGCATTGAGGAGAAGATGCTTTTGTTGCAATCTCCGGATGCCCAGGAAGAATTGCAGTTGCCTGTGGCGGATTTTAATTCACTTAGTAACAACGAGATTCTGACTCTCATCCTTTACCTTATCGAATCAGAATTTCACTTCACTGGTGACGGCATCTGGACGGAGCAGCACACACATCATGTAGAGAACTTCAATAATCTTCTCCCCGATTTCCCCGAGAGCCTCAACAAGGTTTACAAATACGGAGTGAAGCCTGCCGATAAGCTGGTCATGCAGCATTTGTAGGCACTACTTATAAATTTGTATAAAGATTGTTATTAGAATTTAAAAATATTTTTGAATCCAACTTTAAAGTTTTATTTGTTTTTTTGTTCTATTATTTATTCCGATTCCAGCTTCAGAGCGGCTAGGTTTGTTTCTGTTTCTGTGATCAGTTCATCCTCGTTCACCTTCAAGGGAGAGTACTTCGCCCAAAAAACTTCATCATCACATGCTGGCAGGGATTCCTGTGGAAAAGTGTGCAACGATAAATCATTGAATACGTTGGTGGTCTCGTAGTCGTCCTCTAGCGGAGTCTCTGTACAATGTTCAACTATCCTCATTATATGGTCATTCTGACTTTTTCGATTCATTGTCAGCATTTCAAAGCTGTTGGAGATAAGAAAAACATTGGGCAGTGTTTCTCGTTTCCAGTTGGACCACAAAATATTGTGCATCAGTGCGTATGGGCAGTGGGGGAGATAATAGAGCGTTGGAACTGTGGCCTCATGCTTTCCCGCACAGTCTTCGCTCATTACACAGCCGTCAAACAGGTTGATCAATTCTTTCTCGGTGTCTCTAAAGACGGGATCAAAATAGAGAGCATCTTTAATTTTGTGGTGCCGTTGCAGTCCAATCACGAAAGCGGCCTGATGAAGGGCATGGTAGGTGCGGGAGAATGGTCCAAGACCCAGGCAGACAATCCGTTCCAGTGACGTTTTAATGCCCTCCAACTGCTGCTGCAGCGCTTCCATGGTCACAAGGAAGTAGTCGCTCTGAACCATCTCCGTGCATAAGTTCTCCAGGCGTCTAAAATTAGTTGAAGCCGTTAGAATTATCGAGTATGGTGCACGTTGCATACTTACTCCTGAAACTTTTCCACATTTACATCCGGACAGTCTTTTAAGTAATCGCTTTCGGACTTGTGGCGGTCCCGCCGCCTAAGGCACTTCCTTGCCATCCATTTTTTCCTCGTAACCACCTGGAAATCCTCGCCAGAGTTCGACATTCCAAAAAGTAAATAAACACGTTTCTTCTTCTTTCCACTTCGCTTTGTGTGACTGTTTTTCTCAAAGATAATTTACACATTCATAAAATTTGGAAACTTTTAAGATATCTTATCAAAGTAACTACATTCTTTTATCAAAGCTCTATAAACTTGCCGAAATAATAAAATTGACAAAGCAAACAAACATGAAAATAATAAGATGAATTTTTACCAATAATTAGCATTTCGTTTTTGTAAGTGTATCAGCTGTTTTCTGTGCTTCCTCTTCTCACAACTTTATTTTAGTTGTTTTGCTCGCCATGAACGATCCAAACAAAGCTATCAGCGTGAATTTATCCTCGCTGCTCAGCTTAAAGGCAGAATTGGTGAGAAAGCAACATGAGGTCAAGATGGCGAAGGCCACAAAGGCATCAGCCGCAGAGTTCCGGCCGAGCAAGAGCAGCGGTGACAAGGAGAAGTCTGACGATCGCGGCTACAAGAATGTCGCCAAAAGTGGCGATGGCGCTAAAGTCTATGAGGCGGAAGACCAAGCCCAGCTGGACAAGTCCCGGCGTGTCCTAGAGGCTAAGAGTAAGTTCTACGACCGGATGAGTCGTAGCGGCGGCAGTCTGAACTCCGATGACAACTGCCTGGTGATGTTCAATCGTAAAAAGCAGGAGGCGGACCAGGAGGACCCACCCCAAAAGTTTGAAACTCGACAAAGACTAAGCAGCAGCAGCAGTTCCAGCGAAGACGAGACGGGCCAAGACGATGACGAGGTGGAGTACGTTGATTGCTTGGGCCGCACCAGAAAGTGCTTAAGAAAAGATTTGGCAGAGGCTCAACGTCGCGACCGCCAGCTGGCCGAGAGCATGCCGGAGCGCCTTGATCAGACCAAGGCCAACTGGATGATAGACACCAAAGGTTGCCAGGATAATGCTCACAACAGCGACGACGACGATGGCGAGTCCTTTATTGGACCACGGCCCACAGAAAGTGTTTTCAGTGATGCGTTGTCCACGATGACCAAACACGACGAGCAGCGCATGAACTGGGAGCGAAAGGAGCAGGAGAATGTCGAGAAGCCTGATGTTCACTACCAGGATGTGTTCTTTGACGAGGCGCGCACTCATGGCGTTGGTTACTATGCCTTCTCCACGGACGAAGACGAGCGTCGAAAGCAGCAGCAGGAGCTGGAACAGGCCCGCAATGCCACGACCGAAGAGCAGAGACGACGGGACGAGATGCGTGCCAAGCGGGATAGCCTCGTGGCCGACCGTGTGCTGGCCGCCAAAAACAGAATTCGAGCACGCAACGGCTTGCCTCCAATTAGCAAAGAGGAGTATGAGCGGGAGGAGCGGCAGAAGAAGGAGGAATCGGCAGCCGAAGCAGCTCAACGTGAACGAGAGGAGCAGAAGAAGAAGGCAGCCATCGAAAGAAAAAAGGCTAGGGAGGAGGCTGAAAAAGATGAACTACGCAAAGATCACGTTCGCGATTGGGACAAGGATAAGCCAGGTGTGGCCAAGCGAGTCGATTCGGATGGCGATGAATCCCCAGAAGAGGAATGGAAGTACAAGTCCGAACGGCTGCCCATGTCCCAGGAGGAGTGGAACGAGAAGCAGCGCGCCCAGCGGCAGGCAGAATTTGCTCCCATGGCAGAGCCGGTTCCCCTTAAGCGCAGCAACTTCAGCAGCATGCCACCGCCTCCGTCTTCCTTGTGGCAAAGCGGCCAGGAGCCGGAGTTCAACAATTTCCATAGCACCAAACAGGAGAAAAAATTCCAGCGACGAAACTATACAACCAGCAACGAAGATGATAACGACGAAGAACCCAGTACATCCACTCGTGGCCTGGGAGCTGCCATACCTCCACCTCCTGGCCTAAATGACGCTATCCTACCCCCGGCAGCAAAACGACCCAGATCGCAAGCCGAGTTGGAGCGCTCCATCGAGGCTGGTCTGAAGTTCCTTCGAGAAACCTGCGATAAGGGCGTGCTCGGCAACAAGGCCACGTGGACGGCCAAAGCCGATTACTAAATTAAGTCAAAGGAGCGTACCCTTCATTTATAGTTTATTACTTTGTGTAAAGAATACTTTAGAAAAACACAATACGCCTAGACAAACTATCTATTGTCTGGGGTCTTTGAGCTAATTTCAACAAATGTATTGTTAATTTTAGCTACGGCTAGAATAGATAATGCTTTCTCACAATTCCTGTCGAATTCTATGACCCTGTGCCCAATTCCCTTTTCGGTACGACTAACGTAATGGAATTTATACTTTTTGGAGAAGTCATTTCGAATTTTTGGAATTTGTGTATTCAAGAATGTAGATACAACATTAAAAACGGAAAACAACAGAAAATCAAATTCAATTTCTACTCTAGTTTGGCCTTGGTTGGATTGCTCATTCAGTTGTAAAATTTAAAACTAAGATAAAATAAATTAATCATAAAGTGTTAACTATGACGACACAAAGTCCTATCTGGGACGCAGGGTCAAGAAACTGGATGCTATCGAAACATACAAAGTCTTTCTAGGCTAATGGTAATATTTACTAGCTTGCATATAACTAAGGGTTAAGTGAGAATCAACTGGAGCACGCTATCTGAGCTGGAATATTATTGGTAATTGGTGTTTTGGGCAGACAGCAAGGGTTCCATTTCGGTTGCAGTGTGGCCTAGAGCATGTCCCGATCCACCATATCGATAACTATCTCGGACATCTTCTGGCGACACAGATCGTTGGGTGGAAAATTGAGCGCGGGCGCTCCGACATCCTTATCAATATCGTCATTTCGTTTCAAATACATATCCGGGGCATCCTCGGAGGAGCAGGTGCTAATAGGAATGATGTCCATGGCCAGACCAAGAGCAAACCGTCCGTAAGTCTTCAGCTCCTCGGCGAAACTAAAAAAACGGGTGTTTATCTAATAGTTATTTCAATGTATTAATAATTTGCTTACAGATCCTGCAGCTTCTCCAACGTGTCACAGTGAACCGGCAAAGTCGTGCAAAGGATTTGGAGCCATCGGAATAGCTCCTCCGTGTACGTTTTGAGCAGTGTCTGCAGCTGGGTATCTCGCATCTCCTTGGTGGTGCAGCAGTACAGCAGATTGGCAATGTCCAGGGCGATGGAGCTGTAGCGTATCAACTGGAAGTCAATCAGGGCCACATCCAGCACCCGTTGAGGATCCTTTGTGTCGTAGTGGTACAGAAAGTTGTTCACCCAACAATCACCATGGCAGATGGCCGAAAGTGGGGACTCGGCGCTGGCCAATTGCACCATGCGGCCGAAGAAGGAGGAGCTCTCCGCAAAGTTGCTTATGGCCAGGACATACTTTGAGTCCGCAGGCAGCACATCGGACACCATTTGAATGGCGTTCTTCGTGAGGCGTTCGTAGTAGTTTCGATACCAACTCGTGTTGGCCGTGCAGAATATGCCCTCACTAATCAAGCTGCACAGTTTGTTGAACTCCAGCGGGTTCTCGAACTTATAACCCAGACTGAGGGCGTGCAGCTGGGCCACCTGCAGCAGGACGGACTGCGTCTCCTCCACACTGAGGCCTTTGTGCCGGTCGGTCATCTGGAATCCCCGTTCTCGAAGATCCTCTGTTTCAAAACATTTAAATAGTGATCAATTTCATCTAGATATTAAAAACAAATTATGACAAATTTACCCATTATAAGCAGATCATCTCTGGCCGAATAGCACTTGGGAATGGCATTGAACACGGGTGTGCCCTGGTCAGTTTTGCTGGCCTGGAACTTGAGCAATTCCGGCATGATGCTGTTATAGAATTCCACCTCGTTGCTGTGGAGGGATGGGACATGAGGGATTTGGATAAGAACGCGGTGCAAGTAGAACTCACCGGAAAAGCTTATCGCTCTTGTAGGCTTCTCTGGCCACCAGACTTTCCGGCAGAACCTTGCAGATGACGTTCTGTTCCCATTTGAGACTCCGTCGTTTTCCTGTGAGTTTTATACGATAAAGGGCCGCCGTATAGTTGTCACCCCGGTCAGAGGCCTGGGCTAGCTGCAAGCATAAGGACATGTTGCGAAGTGATTTCATAATCATAATTTTGCCGTCCTTCTATATCCCTACCTCAAAAGCATCAATCTGCACTTCCGGTTCCACGTGCTTAAAAATGTCCTGGAAGGCCTCGAGCGACAGGATTTGTTTGCCCTCCACGGCGTTTGCCGCTCCCATTCCGGTTGTCGTTGTTGCAGTCTCCGTAATTCCCATTTTCCCCAGGAGTCCTGGCTTCTACGGAGAATCTTTTACTGATTATTTGACAACAATGTCTTTTAACAAATTGCTGGGCTGCACTTTTAAGTTCTCGTTGTTCGTTTTTAAAGTTTATTCATCGATTTTGCGCGAACATGTGTTCTTTTCTCACTACTATGTGCTTCTCTCCCCCCATTTGCCGTATCCTTTTGTGCTTTCGTCATCCTTTACGTCGTTACAGCCCTGGCTATTACGTTACGTAACTTTTACTTACGTGCGCCAGTGCTGCCACTCTTTGTTATTTTTAAAGTATGCCTTAAGTGACAGATTTCTGTTTGAAAATAAAAAGGTTTGTATTATTTATTTGTGCTTTTTATTTATGTATGTTTTTTAGCTCTTATAACTTTATTAATTTTGAATTGAAGTTGAATCAAATTGCTTACAGATTTTTTAAGGAGGGAAGTATTGCCAAGGGTCTCCAATTAGAGCAGATCCAAATTAAATTCAATTTATTTAAAAAACATAGAATATTCACATAATATTAAGGCAAATTAAGGAACATGTTTACTAAAACTGAATACTAATGAATTTCAAACCAATTCATGAATTGTACATTAACAAAGAGCACTAAAAAGAAGTAAAATTTTGTTGAATGTAAATAAACGCATTGTAACTGTTAAAAGGAAGTCGAGATTCAAAATAAAACTCAAATTTTTTAACTCTATTGCTTTATCTCTTGTTTATTCTTATTAAAATACGATTATGTGTAACTTGATTAATTGAGTTGCGGCTTACAAACAAGTAGGTATAGAAAAAATGAATAATTTATGTGTTTGTATTAAAAGTGACTAATGCTACGAATATGTATTTATTTTTAGGGAAATGTAGCTGCTGCTTTCATGTAATCCTGGCTTATCAGCCATGTTGGGACTGAGCGTTTTGAACGCCATCACTTTCAGAGTTTGTGAAGATTTAGACCGGAACTTCCGTCGGTTTGGATCAGTCCATTGGGCTTAAATGGAAAAGAAAGAAATGTTGTTGGTGAAATAATTTTTATATAAATATTTGTACACTTCATATGCTCACCAGTTCATTGTTGCTGCTGGCTTGTGTAGAGGCCCATGTCCTCCTGGACTTTTAAAGCCAGCGGTAGCGGTCTCTGCGGCCAAGTGCGTTGCTGCAGTAGCTTCTCCGCCCTGGCCAACTGTTGTTGCAGTGCCTCGATGGTGGGGTAAATTTGCTGCTCGATAAACTCGGACACGGTGTACTGGTCGTACACCTCGTACAGCAGCTGCTGGGCCTCGCGCGCCATCATGCGCAGCTCCTCGATCACCATTGGCGCCCTGGCGGTCAGGTCCCGCACCCTCAGCGGCGAACTGAAGTTGTGCCGCACATTGTAGTCGGAGAGCCAGGCGCTCTCCTCGCGAGTATGCTGCAGATAGACTCCGATCTCGGACAGCTTTTCTAGCAGGCGCATGGCAAACTTGTAGATCATGTGACCCGGATAGGTGCAAACATCGAAAAGCTGACTGTGATGGCCGTTCTGGTGCAGATCCAGCCAGGGGCGACCCGACCGCCGGCTGTCCGGCTGGAAGGCGCACTGCATGACGCGCACCAGTTCATTGTCCTTCGGATTGGTGCTGAAGTAACCCTTCGAGACGGTCGACAGCGAAGTCATCAGGCTGGGCAGCCCCACCGGCAGCAGTTCACAGAGCACGGCGAAGTGATCGTACCGCTGCCATCCAGTCAGAGCCAGTCCACGGATACCCTTGGCAAAGCGTCCGCCCTCCTTGGCAATCACCGCCAGCCAGCGGATGTTGTTCTCCAAGTGCTGTTGTAGTGGTGGCACCAACAGGCTCTCGCCGAAGGCTCCCTTGAAGGCGGACGCCGTCCAGGCGCCGGGAAAGATCTTGGCATAGGTGTCCCACAGCTGCGGCTGGATGAAGCGATAGATATCGCTGGCGTACACCCACACCATTGGCTCCACGTAGCTGCCCACCTGCGAGTTCTGCAGCTCGCTGAGCGACATCGATCGCAACTGGTCGTCCCAGATGACCACGCCCAACTCCGGCCACTGGCGGCGGATGAAGTGCGCCAGGCTAACCACGTGCGAGAGGAAGAGCTCGCTGCGCATCCGCTGGCGGCAGTTGGAGCAGGCTCCCATGTTCTGCACTTCGTCGCATCCGATGTGGATGTGGGTGAACCTGATCGGGGCCCTTGGAGCGGCAGAGGCAGGTGTGGATTGGCCCAAGCACTGCAGGTGCAGCTCGATCACCTGGGTGAGCATCTGTTCCAGGAGCGCCATGCTCTGCGGCTGGCTGGGGCAGATCGACTGCGGACTAATGGCCAGCTCGCGCAGTTGCTCGTAGCCGGAGAGCTTCAGGACGTACTCCATGTGCCCAAAGGTCTGGATAAGCGGCATCACGCTCAGTCCGTGCAGAGCAGCACACTCCAAGAAGTCCTGCAGGGAATGAGGTAAAGATTTATTAGATAATATTTAATATTCATACCTTGGCTTTAAACGATATTTGTATAAAAAAATTCAACGAGGTATACCACTCATAAATCGGATAAAAATTAGGAAAGTTATGATCTTTACTATTTTCGGGACTCCGAGATTATCTACGACCATACCCTCAGTTCATCCTCCTTATAGGCATTAAGAGCCGCCAGAGGCTTCAAAGCTCCGCTGAAGGGGAACATGTCCTCGTACTCGATGAGCAGGCCAGTGGCTCCAAGTTCCCGCAGCACCGGCAAAAGTTCCTTGAGGAAGCTCAGCTTGGGCGGGGCGCCCTTCAAGTCCAGATGCACGAGACGCTCGGCGGGAGCCCTCGGACCATCCGGACCGATCCCGGCCACCACCGGAATCCCCATGCGCTGCAGTTCGTGCTCGTACTGAGTCTGTCGCTCCGACGAAGTGAGCATTCGCTCATCCTCGGCATTGGCATTCAGCTCCTCCATTCCGGCGTTCCTTTGTCGCTGCTGCTGTTCGAGGATCTTGAGGCGCTCCTGCTCGAACAGATAGCTCTCGGACAGGGGAAGTGGTGCCTTCTTCGCTTGCGTGGGTCGCAGAAATCGCACGTTGCCCAACCGCTGGACCGGCGAAGGTGACTTCTCAATGGCGTTGTCTTTGAGTCGCTCGGCTCTCAGAACTCGATTGGCCTGGGCAATTAGCTTCTGGATGATGTGCACCTGCTGATAGCCAGTGGTCTCCTGCTGCTGGCGTTCAGAACTGGCGAGTGCGACCGGTGGCTGTGCGGAGGAGGCTGTCGTATCGATTAGTATGGCCCACGTCCAGAGGCCGAGGAGCACCAGGCCAGACACAACGAGCAGGAAGGAAAGTTTACGGCGCCAAATAAATATCCACAGATTTGAGTGCATCTGCAGAGAGAAAAAAAAGTGGTCAGTTTTCTAATAAGTGAATACATAATAACTATGGGAAAACTTTTAAAGATAAGTTTTAGTAATAGATGTAAAATACTTTATAATTTTCCTCTAAAGTTTTTTGTTATTAATAGCCAATTAATTTTCTCAGTTTCTTTTGTTTTCAAACATTTATTCAGTTCTCAGTGGAAAAAAGTTGGGAATCAGCCACTGCAGTGCCGCAGAGTAAAACTTGCATCACTTTTCATAAATATTTGAAGATCCAACAAGTAGCCCCCGGAGTTATGCAACATAAATCCACACACAAGCGGCGCCACCAGCCGCACGTTACTCATACGCCACCGTAACAGGCAGGGCACGGCAACTCATTGAGGTTGAGTTAAGGGCTGTTTCCATTGTTGTTCTTGCTGTTCTTGCGGGTCGAGGCTCCTGCCTTTGTGTTTGCCCAACTCCTGAGGCTTTCAACCGTAGTAGAGGCTTAAAGGGACGATAATAGTGGCAAAAAAACTATACATATTGTATTTATGATTTGAAGCAATAAGTCAGCCCAGCTTTTAACAAGCGAGACAGAAAAACTAACTAAGTTGTTACAATTTTTCATATGAATTAAATGCTGCATTATAATATATAAGTATTTTTAAACTGTGTCAAAGGAATTGCGATTTCAAAATTATTGAAGCCAGCTGTACTTTTATTATTATCAAGCATGAAAGTTTCTGGGCTTACTGCATAAAAACAGGGAAAGTGGTTTGGCTCCTGCTTTTAATAGCTTGGCTGATAGTTTAGTCGCATTCGTTTAAATAGGCACGACTGGCAGCTTATTTAAATGAGTCTCTGGCAGAGACATAAAAGCACAAAGGTGGGGAATCCGCACAAATAGGCGGATAAAAGTCGAGCAAGGATACGAGGCGTCATTCGGGAACTGCAGGATGACAGTCAGCAGCGAACAAAACCAGAACGGTTCGACAGGCGATAAATGCAAGTGCTCAAGTGGAAATGTGCAGCCGTCTGACTGGCGGAAATTGAATTGGGTTTTCGCTGGGTTACGAGTTACCAGTGGGTGGCTGCTGGCTGGTGGCTGAGCGCCGTTTAGGCCACTTCTTACTCGGTTCGTGGTTGGCGGTTCGTGACTGTCAGCAAAGACAAACGCGGAACACTATCAAGTTTTTGTGGACACTTGTTAGTCGCTTGAGTGGAGGGGTTCGAATGGATCATCGGCATCATCACCTAAAAGGCGACTTAATGAGCGGTCTGCTTCCTTTACAAATGACAAACGAAAATATTTACATTAAAAGGAAAACCACGAAAAGGTAGGCAACATTTACAATATTACATATACTGCTAATTAATTGGTATTTCATTTTGACTGGTGTACGAGAAAGGAAAAACATTTTAATCAACAGCAGATAAAATATTAATTATGTTCAACAAAAATGATATAACCAAATGCCCTCATACTTAAAAACCCAATTGACATCAATAAAAAATAAACTTAATTAAAAGTAATTATAATCCTGCTCATAATCTATACCGAATCAAACAGAATATGATTTAGTTTACTTTTAATATCATCAATTAAAAACCATGACAAACATGACAGGGATTTAATATAAACATTTGATCAACCATTTGCCATTTTCCTTTGAAATTCAACATTAATTGAGTTGTATATCAAAGAGAACATCATTTTATTGATTTCACTAGGATATTTTTAAAACTTTTTCCCTCATGGAGAGCTGCATAAATTTAGTGACTTTAACGACTATTTACCATCAATTTTGCATTTGGGAAATAGCCAAACGAGATCCGATTGCTGACCCATTTGGCTTAAAACACATTTGCATTACTACGCTGCCGCTCACTCTCGACTTTCCATCTTGTGTTTTTGCCAAAATTGTACAGCCAAAACATTTTCCTTTGGGGCATTGAAAGTGGCGGAATGCAAAGAGGCAGGCCTAGAAATCGTGTGAGTTTCTCTCGGGTATCTCTATATTTTGCCAACCACAATAACTACTTTGAATGGGTGCTCTCGTTTTTCAGGCGCTTTGTTGGCTGAAGTTCTCGCCAAGGATGCAGAAATAGAGAAGCCAACACAGCAAACAGAGGCGCCCGAAGGGGGAGATGTGTGATATGTGAGGGGGGACAGAAAGGGGGGAGATGTGTGATATGAGCCAAGAACAGAACAAGCACCCTACATTCACATCTTCTTTCATGTCGGGTTGCATACTGAAAAAAAAAGTATTATTCCTGTGTTCATATTGACAAAGATATATTAAGCAGTATTTAAATATATATAATAATATTATAATGTTTACCCCTGATCATAAATTTTTAATAAAAGCAAATGAGCATTTTTAATTAAAGCAAAGTATAACTTCATAGATAGATGTCTAAATTGAAGTAAAATATTGCAATTTTCTTTTTAAACATAACGCAACAGCTTTAAATCTTTGAACCAGAAGCCAATTATTGTTTACAATAAGTTTTCGAGATTTTCTGTTTCTGTGAAAGTCTTTCTCCGAGTGCACACAATTGATGTTTTCACTTTCCTTGTTCGTTACCGACAGAACCTGACAAGACACGGTCTCGACAGGACAATGGATCGGTGCTAATTGCATTCGGCTCGTCAGACAGAACCGAAAACAGTTTGCAGCGAGCGTTTCCTAAATTAAATGTAATTGCACCGCAAAACCGACAGGCCAATTTGCAGTTGCAATTCACGGCGTTTCTGGCCGGGCGTTCGTCCATTTCCTGCCCAACTGTGACTGTGACCTCAGCCCACTCATTCAGTTGAGAGCCGGGCTAGAAAAAGCAGCCATGTTCTTCTGTGCAACCACCGACAGGACCCGCTGTGAAGTGTCCGCCCACCACACAATTTGGCTGTTTGCCACAAAAAATATAGAAACGAAACTGAAGTGTTTTCAAAAACAGAAAGCAACCGAAAAAATGTTACAAAAAATCCAAAAAAAACATTAAGCGCTTGCTGATGGACCTCGAAATGTACTCATTCACTGTTTATGAGGCCTCCATTCACAGCGTTTAACGGACAGATGCCATTAAAGTTATACAAGTGGCCAGCAATAAATTTGCCTCATTTGGAGCACAACATTAAAAATAAAAAATGTAGCACACAATTTAATTGTGATTGCAGGAAATTTAAATTGAATGTACGATTAACAATGCAGTGAAAACGATAAATTAAAATACTCTGCGCAAGGTTATAAAAACAAAGAAGAGTAAATAAATTGATAAGCTTTTAAGCATGTGGACTTTAAAACTATTCATTTCATTTGAATTCACTTTTTAAATATCTCTGGCTCACACACAGCAATGCTTTTCTTTTATTTCCTCAATTTAGTGCAATATAAAATATCCTTTTGGCCGACGTTTTTCTTAAAGCTACTCTACAGTGCTCTTCCTGTTCTGGATTTTCCATTCAGGGGCTCTCGCATCGCTTATATTACATTCCCTGCATTGCATTTTGAGGAGCAGAAAATTTGCCTGCCACTGCAACGGAACAGGCGAAGGAGAACGCCCTGGTAAGGCTGCCTTAAGTTGGCTTTAAGGATAATGCTGCCGGTCAGGCCATAGTTCACTTCTTTGGCCCATAAAAAATGTACACAGGGGAAAAAGCGAAACTTTCCTGCTTTATACAGAACTGAGAAACTTATATAAAATTATTAGAATTTTATTTGGGACTTTCTGGTTTTCTGCGCTTAACACGTTCCTCATGCAAATAGAAAAGCATTTTGTTTTGAAAGTAGTAGAAGTTCTCTTTGGGTCCCAGCTCCGGAAAATATCCCGAATTTTCCGACTCCTGAGAGTTCTTTCCTTTTGTTGAAGAAATAATACTATTGGCTTCTTTGAATCGCTTTTTGGTAGGTTCGAAATAGCTAAATGAATCTTCTTCTGTCTTGCGTTTCAATTTACTCACAAGTTCAGCCATTTATTGTTAAAGTTTCTGATATTTCTCAGGCACGTATATTGAACGTTCCTTTAAAATTGTATACAAATTTATACTAGACTACTGCTTTTACTTTTTCTTAAAACATTTTATTCTCTTAATCTGTAAAGGAGCTTCAACAGAGTCAACGCATTTTTTCTTGGTGCACAAACTGTTGAAAGGAGGCTGAAGCTGAGTTGAGTACTTGGGCTTGGAAAATATTGTGCTAGCTTCTCCCTCCGGTACGCAACCTTATTGGTCTGAGAGCCATAATCGGCAATTAGGCCATTTAACGCCTTATTAACGTCCATTAGCAGGCGGCCACTATTGGACGATGATTCGTTGGCCAAACATACCGGAGAATATCCATCTTGCCCCTTTTCGACTGCCTTCTCGGCCAGACTCAAGATGCCTAGATGGCCACTCAAATAAATTTCAGCAGCTCAGAAGTGCAGCACTTGCCTCTGGGGGAAATAATTGGAAATGGGGTTTGGAATTCTAGGCCAAGGAGCTGAAGAGCTGGTGCAGTTGGAGCCTCCTAAATTGGCCTTAAAAATGGCAGGGGATTTTTCCAGTTGAAATGAATCGGGGAAGTCATGAGAAATAGCTGGAGAAAGGAAATAAATAGCCAGGAATTTCTATCGAGGGATCCTCAATGTGTTTCAGTGCAATATCTCTATCTGTATTTATAAACCAGCAGCCAGAAATGCAGTGCCATAAAACACTTTAATTCCGCCATAAGCCCGGCTATTTTGTTGGCAACGGAATGCCACGAAAATTGGCAATCAAATGTATGCAAATATACTATCCTACCCGCATTTTCCTCACATCCTGTGTAGAATTCATAATTGGCAAAGCAAACAGACGGGTAAATGAGAATGAGAACAAACAAAAGCGAAGCGAAACGAAACGAAACTCGTTGCCGGTTGTAATGAAAATACTCTGATGAACTAGTCCACCGTTTCCCAGTTATTTTCCCTTCTTTCAACTCACAAACTTGCCGTGTTGAAGCAAAACTTCGCCAAGCGTCAAAAATCGCCAGCATTCCCGTCCC